TTAGCATGGGACACTGTGGCAGTCTCTTTCCCTTTCTAGTGCTCTGTAAGATGAAAAGGGCAGAATACATGGTCTTGAAATAATTTCCAGAGTTCTTTATTTGTTACTTTTTGGTTCAAAACCATAGCCAGATCTCTGAGAAGAACTGAGGTTGTGCTCTAATATCCTTTTCATTGGATGTCAATATATTTAAATTCAGTCCATAATTTACGAAGGCCATGGGCCAGTGTGACAGGCTGAGATCACAAACAGTAAAATTAAAAGGTACTCTCCTTTCTTCAGGTAACTAGCTGGGCAATGTGGATTTCTTGGTGATCCCTGAGTACCTCCCTACTTCTTTTCCTGGAGCCTATAGTCTAAAACATGTTGGATTAAAACCAAGAATAAAAGACCTTGAGTTTGTATACGTGCTTTTTGAAGATTATAAAATGCTTTCACATACTTCCTTTCGTGTACGACTCATAACAAACCTGAGCAGTATTATTCTTCTCAAATTACCAACAAGGAAACTAAATCTTTGAGAGCCTAAGTGATTTGCTCAAGGTCACCTGCTGAGCCAGTGAACTCCTCCCTGTTCTACTCAGCATCCCAAGGACTGGGTACTCCAGGCTCCCTTCCCCCATTTGTTCAAGGAGAGTTTGGCTAATGGGAGTCAATGAGAGGAGACTGGAGGAGAGAGGGGGAAGGTGGCTTTTACTCTCCTTTTTCTCTGCCTTTTGTGGCATCTCTGCAGTGGTTTCATGTGCTGAGCACCTCCAGATCCTGCCAGCCATCCTGACTTCCCAAATCTGGTAGCATCACCTTCTCTTGTGTTCTTCTAGGCTCAGGACCAGTGGTAACTTCCTGCTGATGTTAATCTCTGTGGTGTCCCATCTGTTGTTCAATTTCTCGGCCATTCCATCACCTGTATGTCCATATCCGCACAACAGCAGACCCCACTACGCTTATCCATGGGTGATACATTCCAAGGCTATATGAGAGTGAATGTCTGAAACCATGGTGGTACAGAACGTGACTGATAACTGAGACAGTTACTAAGTGACTAACAAGGTGAGGGTACGATATACAGTAAGTGGCTAATAAGGTGAGGGTGTGATATACAGTATGGATACACTGGACAAGGGATAACTCATGAACCTGAGTGGGATAGAGAGGGTTGGAGTGAGATCACACTCCTCAGAGTAGTGTACAATCATATATATATAGTGTCTTTCTGGAATTTTCCATTTAATAGTTTTGTGCCTTTTCTCCTCCCTCCACCCCATTTCCCTTCTCATTTGAACATTTTCTTCCCATTTCCCGAAGGGACCAAATAAAAAAAGAAGCAAAAATGGAAATAAAGTTTTTGTAAATAAAAAGGGGAAGAGGGGCTGAAGGGAGGGGAGGGGAATGGGGAAAAAAAGAAGCAAGATATATCATGAACAGGCATAATTTCCTTATGATCAATGTTGTCACTATGTATATCTAAAATGTACCAATAAAATAAAAAATAGTTTTGGGCTATGTTTTGACCACAGAAAACAAACACAAAAGAAAGTGAAACATGATAAAGGGAAAATTGTGTACTGAATGACCTGAGATGGTTTCTGTTTTCCTGGTTGAATCCTTCCTGCACAGTCACTACTGTAAGGACCGTAAGTATGACAGAAAGTATGACATACTAAGTATGACTGTAAGAATGACAGAAACAGATCCTGAGAGTTTACCAGATGTGTCCAGATGCGTGGACATGCACTTTACTACTACATAGGGAGTGCCTTGTTGTCTGGAATTGAACTTACACACCTTTGGATCTTGAAGTTCTAACGTGGAGTCTGACATATAGCAGCCACCAGTAAATAACTGCTGATCTAATATGTTTGCATGACAAAACAAACCCAGCCAGAGTGACTATTTAGTGTATCTCTGTATCTCTAAGTATGTACTAGACTCAGTCTTAAGAAATACAGGTCCTTCCAGTCTATAAATTGTATCAGTGAGCCATTTCACTGCATAATGTAACACCATCCAGGAGAAATGACACCATTCCTGATTTCTACAGGGTCACTGGGCTTTTGAATCATCGAAGTTATTTTACATGAGAAGATATTAATTAGCTAAAACTTGGGCAAAAGTACAACTGCCAAAAAAAGAGAGTGCGTGAAAACTGGATGAAAGATGCGGGAAAACACAGAATCATGCTGTAAAACTATCTTATGCAGGAAGCAACAGAGTCAGCCTCGGGAGATCTGGTTGTGGTCGCTGCCCTTCTACTGACCTGTGGTGAGGCTTTGGGTGAGCCAGGCCTGTCTGACCCTCAGTTTCCTCATTGGTAAATGAGGAAGTCAGATTAAATGATCCAAGATTCAATAGCTTATAGGCATCTAGAGAATCAAGTCCAATTATTATCACATCAAGTGAGACCTCACCTAGTCTGGTCCCAACTGACCTCCCCAGCCTTCCCTGTATGGCACCTGCTCAGCCAGCTGCTTGCCAAACCGGGCCTTGGCCCTCCCATTTCCTCTGCTGCTTTTTTCTGCTGTCTTTATGTCACTCTGTAGCCCTGCTTATTTTTCCTCTCCTGTGCTTTATCTCAGATTCCCCCTCCTTTGGGGATGAAAATAACAAGACCCCTTATCATCAAGAGCATATGGAGTGCTGATTAAGACAACAGTGTGAAACCAGTATGATGGCCTTCAGCCCTGGGCCAGTAACCCATTACCCATGTGAGGGAGACATGTTATTTACTAACTGTGCCTCAGTTTCTTCATCTATAATGTGTTGATCTAATAGTGCTTACATTAAATTCCTTAGGTGGAAATACCTAGCTGATTTCCATTTTCCTGATGGGGCACAAAATGAATTACTGGCTGGGGAATAAATGTTATTGTAACCATAAACATAACAGGGGTTTACAGACATAGCACCGTGTGTGTATGTGTGCGTGTGTGCGTGCGCATGCGAATTTTCCTATTAAGCAGTGAGAATCTTTCCACTATGAGCTAAGCTTATGTATTTTTGTCTCTGCAGATTCTAGTGTGGTGATTGACAGAGCAGGCATTAGTAAATGTTTGCTGACATTTAATACTGGCAGGAATTAAATTAGGTAATACATTCTGTGCCTGTACGTGACACACAGAGATTGACAGTGTGCAACTATTATAATTATTAACTATTATCTGTGTCCCACAAGGCTTTGTACTTTATTATTAAAACAGTGGTTATATTGTCTTATCATTATTATACTTTAGGACCTTCTGTTAAACCACAAATGTGTCAAAGATAGTATGCCACAATCCTCAGTATTTCTGAGTGCGACTGTATTTAGAGACAGAACTTTAAAGAAGTGACCAAGCTAAAATGAAGCTGTAAGGTTGGTCCTTAATGTGAACTGACTGGTGACCTTATGCAAGGAGAGGATGAGGGGAGACATTTAGAGAGACACGGGTATGTGTGCAGAGAAAAGTCCCCGTGAAGGGGCAGCAAGAGGTGGCCCACTGTAAGTGCTGGAGAGAGGCTTAGAACAAATCAACCCCACAGATACTTAGATCTTAAACTTAGTGAGAGCTGGGCATGGTGGCATATGCCTATAATCCCAGCACTTGGGAGGCTGAGGCAGGAGGATGGCCATGAATTCAAGGCCAGCCTTGGCTACAAAGTGATTTCAAGGCCAGCCCTGACTATAGAACAAGACCCCCTCTTAAAAACAAAAGCAGAACAAAATTCTAGGGAGAAAACTAGCTCTTTCTTGTTTAAACTACCCAAGTTGTGGTATTTTGTTATAGCAACCCTAACAAACCCATACAGGGTCTATGTTTTTATTTATTCATTCAACAAATAGTAATAGAGCATCCATCATGACCTGATTTGTGTAACAGGGAGTAGAGGGCTGAGAAAGGAAAGAAAGAAAAGAGGCTTCTGCTCTCAGGAAGCTTATAGTGTAATGGGAGACACTGACAATGAGAAGATGACACAGCCAGTGGGGTAAGAGCCAGAGTTGAAGGCCTGTGTGTACCCAGAGCCAACACTCTGTCAGCACTGGCTTTCACCGAAAACTACCGTTTCTCAGGTCTGTACGTGAAGTAACGGGACTTCATAGCATTCAAGTAAGGAGAGGCCAGGGGCAGACTTTGCTAAGTGTTGGTGCATTATAGGGCCTGACAGTAGCTGGGGCAGTAGAATAATATATGGATGAGGAGGAAGAGGAAGCGGATTTTCACCTCAGCCCTGCCGCAAGCTAGCAGTGACCCGGTGCCACGCCCTTCCTGTCTGGACCTCCATTTCCTCATCTTCAGAAATGTTGAAGTAGTTCATCTCTTCAGTTCCTCCTAGCTCTTTGAAGTCTTTCTGAAATCTCGATCAGGAACAACTAATACTGCAAGGAGGAAAGGAGGGACAGAGGAAGAAAAGGAAGGGGAAGAAAGAGACAGAAAGAGGAAGGCTGGCAGTAAGAGCAGAAAAGACAGAAGAATGAGCTAAAGACTTGCGTGGCCGTGGGGCCCTGCTTGCCTGCAACCCCTCTCTGCAGTTCCCACGGTGCTTCAGCTGCAGCCTAGGGTTCAGCTGTCAAATCTGTGCTACAGCAGGCTGTACAAGCACGGCTGAATCTTTCAACCTCTCCTTGCAGTGTGATCCCATCTGCACAGCAAGAGGCAGTCATACCATGTCACAGAGCTGTGTACATTCAGTGAGACGATGGCTTAATCATTTCAACACAGAACCTGGTAGTTTCACTTTTGCTGGTGTTGTTTATAGCATCAGTGAAACAGAGGAATTGGATAAACCGACCTCTGAGACTTCCAGTTTTTCTCTATATTTATAGACTTATAATAAAATCATGGGTGCTCATGCATGACCTCTTTAAAGCCCAGAGCCAGATCTAGAATCCTAGCATGAAAATGGGGTGTCTGTGTGCATACAACGTTGTGGGATGCCTGAGAGGGGATTTGAGGAGCAAAAAGGGTGATTCTGGGCCTGTTTTCCTTATTGTACCTTTTCAGACTGTGTTCATTTACCTATAGGTTTCACAGAATGGTTTTCTTCGGTGCTTAGAGAAAATTCAAAGACTGGAAAGATCCTGGAGGCACAAGGAGAAGGCAGAGATGCAGAAAGAAGAAAGCTGAAAGGCTGAGTCTGAAAGCATGAAGAAGAGGTGAGACATGGGAGTTTTCATTGCTCCAGAGTTGGGGTTGGGAAGGTAGGGTCAAATGATGGAAATAGCAACAGGAAACTGGGAGACGGTGGGATAAAGAAGGTTCAGGAGGACCCTGCTTGGAGAGTCTAAGACTCGAGGTTGAGGAGGAAGAACTCATCACGCAAGCTGTGAGAACCACTGAGGATTTCAGACCAGAAGAGTGATCCGATTACTGTTTCACTTTAGATCAGAAAGATAGTCATGCTGGGAACAATCAGTCAATTTGAAGATGGGAGGTGAGGTTAGGAGTTACGGAAGTAATATGAGAGTGGCTCTCACAACCATCAAACTGCTAATTTAGATGTATTCTCCCTTCACAGTACAGCACTCAGATCAAGCATACTTCCATCCATATAAACTACTGAAAAAGTGCTCTGCTGAAGTTACCATCACCATTTGCAATCTGCCCGTTACTTCCTATCTGTGTTATTGTAGCTCATTTATAACTGGGTAGGTGTCACCTGGGGAACTGACTTCATGATCCAGGCCCACAAGGAGTCCTGACCCTTCCTTTCACGTGTGGAAAATGCTGATCTTGAGCTGCGGTTTCCAGAATGTGTTACAGGCCCCCGAGGAGCACAAAAGACAATTTACTAAAATGAAGGGCAAACTTTGTTCAGTGACAGTATCTTAGCCCATGACGTGTATCTGAGGTGTGATTATTGCTAATTAAAATAAAGAGTAAAATAACAGAACAGCTATTTGCATTGTTTCTCTTTCATTCTGATAAAATGCTTATTTTTGTGTATGCTTTAAAAGATCTACTACTATAGTGGTCTATATTGATGCTGGTGTACTACACATGCACACATCGCAGAGGTTTGCTAACAAATTTTTATGGATAAGGATGGATCTTCAGGAAAGTTTGGCAACTACGATGGGGGTACCTCAAATAATTCAGTTTAATAATGAAACAACAAACCTCAATATTCCCTTAATGGATTTCTCTGAAATATTGTAATTCAAATCTTTGTCTTTCCGCATGGTCGTCTGTAGCCCGAAGCGCGTTCTGCAGTGAAGTCACGGTGCATCCGCATGGAAGTTCCTCTGGCTTGGCCTGCGGAGAACAGTGTCCCCTCCCCGGGTGCTGGGGCCATCACTGCTGCTCCCTGTCTTGGCAAGGCAGAGCCCCTCTTGGGGTCTCAGTTTATTCCTTAAAGTTAGCTGCTTTTCCTCATATTTCTTTTCATTCACTTAGATTTTATTATAAATCTATGAATATTTAGAAACTCTTTAATTTTTTTGGACCCTCAGTTAACTTCAACAGGAAAATGCTGGAGGTTTTAAAATTCATCTGGGACCTGCCTGCACTCCCCCTTTGGCTCTGTTCGCCGTGAAAGCATTTGAGGGTTTATCTTTCTATCAGGAAGCTTTAGAAGCACAACCCCTACCTAATCACAACTCTTTGACATAGTAACTAAGTCATCCAATAAGTCACTTGCCACAGAAAGAGGCACAGAAAGCGTACAAAGTGAAAGATGGGTGAGTTGACATTTCCTGGAAGGTAAGGATGTCTTCTACCCAATTATGTGCACACAGCTAGGAGCAGTTGCAATATCTTAAAAGTCAAGTCCTATTTAAATGGTTTGGACAGAGGACAAATCAGTTAGGGAAAAAAATTTAACTTATCAGTGTCCAACGATAGGCACATGCTAAATTTTGATATATTCTTCTGAAGTATTCTACAGAGCTTTAAAAATCTATGCTGTAACAGTATGAGAGAATAATACAACACAATACAATACAATACTATACAGTGTAATACCATGCAATACAAGGGAAAAATGGGATGCATACAGTCCATAGTGTAACAAAATATAAAGACCTGAGGGTGCAGGTGGGGGAGAATACTATAAAATGCTAACAGAAGAAATATCCAGAAGGAGAAGTATGGGTGATCTTCATTTATGTCTTTATATCAATCTGCATTTTCAAATTTCCTTCAATATGTGTATGTATGTGCTCAGTACGTGTTCAGTCATTCAGCAAATATTTGTACCTCCCTCCCTTCCTTTGTCCCTCTCTCCCTCCCTTCCTCCTTCCCTCCACTCCTTTCTTCCTTCCTTCCTTCCTTCCGCCCTCCCTCTCTCCTTCCCTCCCTCCCTCGCTCTCTTCCACCTTTCCTTCCTCTGTCCTCCCCATTCCCTCTTCTCCATCCTTCCCTTCTCCTCCTCCTCCCCTTCCTCCTCCTTCTTCTTCTTCTGGGAATTGAGCCCATGGCCTTCATCCTGAGCTGTATTCCCCAGCCCTTTTTATTTTCAGTTTTGACAGAGGGTCTTATTAAGTGACGAAGTTGCTTAGGCTGGGCTTGAACTCAGCAAGTATTTCCTAGATATCACCTATGAACCCATTTTGCTCCAGACCCTGGAGGTAAGCAAGTCTGGCTCTCCTGTAGTTCACCCTCTGATCAGTAGTAGACACATGAGAAACCAGAATAACAAATACGCAAGCCTGAGGATGCAGATGACAGTGGTGCCTACTGTGAAGACAGCAACCGGGCCACGGGAGGGAGTGAGCAGGGCTGTCTTTCTGCCTTGCACAAATATTTCCCTGATGGTCTGGAAGAAGAGGTTCCCCTCGGCTTCCTTTGGGGGACCAGAGAGGAGGGCAAGGGAGGCAGGGGACAGTGAGCATGGCGGGCAGGCCCCGGCTGTGGGGAATGGAGGACAGTACTCCCAAAACCTGGGTCTGGGGAGGGGTTTGGCCTCTCTCTACATGTGGTGTGGCACAGAATGGTTTCAGAACAGTGGCAAGTCACTGTCCCCCAGAGAGATGACTGGCTACAAAGTGGGAGAAGCTGCTGGCCACAGAGGCAGAAAGGAAGCAGGGAGATCTATTAGAAAAACCTCATCTTTCTTTACAATTTGCCAGTTCTGATTTTCTCCAACTATACATGGGTTAATGATTTCCAAGGTACTTCCAGTACTTAAAAATAAAGATATAGCTTTTTGTGTATTTGGTACCTTGTGTACTTGTTACCTTTGGTGTCAATGCTTCTCAAACACAGGGCCAAAGCTTACTCTCCTTTTAACTCTCCGCACACTGCCTTGTGTCACACGAGTCCTGGTAGATCAGTATGCTATGCACTGGCATGTGTTTGCTTGTATTAGCAGTGCTCAGGGTGAGTATGTTTGCATGTGTTAATTCCCGAGTGAGTTTTCTTTAAGCTTCTCTATGAACTTGCTTGCTGAGGATTTTGCTGAATGTAATAGGGAGCCACTGAGGGTTCTTTTAACAAAGGCTGATTTACAGTTTGGAAATTTCACTCAAGCAGTGCAGAAGGGGTTCTGCAGAGGGCCAGGAAAAGAGTCAGAGAGACACACTGATTTATTAGAAAACCTCTCTGCACCACAATCTTCAAGAGAGACCTCAGGTAAAAGCAGACATGTGTATCCATGGGGAGGGAGCATGGCACTGCAGTTCTAATCCAGAACCTACACACTGAACTATACCCTTCCCTTTTTATTTTATTCATTGTTTAAATTTTGAGACAGGGTCTTCCAAGTTGCCCAGGTTGGGCTCGAACTTGTGATCCTCCTACCTAAGCTTCCCACTGTGCTTGGAATTACAGGCCAGCCCAGAGCCATCTCTGTGGCAGGCTCTCAAACATTGGGAGACAGAAAGTGCGAGACTCCACCTATTTATAGTTGGGGGAAATGAGGCACAAAGAGACAAAGTGACTCATGTGCCAAAGATTTCTGACTTCAGGGCCTCCTCTTAGCTGATGTGAAAACCAGATTCCACCACTTAAGGAGTCATGTAGGGAGAGGGAGTGTTTCTTTTGCACCAAAATGGAATGGAACACAGGGTGGGGGAGGAGGAACAAGTCTCCTCTGCAGAAACCGTGACAAATGCACGGATACCTTAATTTTGACACTCCCATAATCCAGAAAGGGCTAAAATAGGCCATCGAGCTTGTGTTATGAAACCAGAGCAGATCAAACAAAAGAAATAAGCAAAACTGGAGCCAGCCAGATGATAATCCTTGTGAAGAGCAATCAAATCTGAGTGAAAATAGATCAGAGACATTCTCCCAAGAGACACAGCACTTGGAGATCCTGGAACCAAGACCCTTACATAAAAATGGAGAGGACATAGGCTTGGGGGAGGGGTTTACTGTCACACTTAGAGACAACAGACAAACATTGCCAACGGAGTAAGCATTGGAACTGGAACCAGCTCTCCGCATTCTGAGCTAGTGGTCATCTCAGTTCCTCATAATTATCCAGGGTCGAACCATTTACCATACAGACAGGCAGAAGAGTGGGGTCCAATCAAAGCACTCTGAGAGCATTTCATGCATATTGCATTTACACACACACACACACACACACACACACATTGATTAAGTTGTGAAGTCTTCTCTTTACTTAGCAGTGAAAACCAATAGCATTATTTTAATATCTGAATTTTGGTTCTGATTCAGAGGCACAGCTCACAGAACCCACAAGGAACCCTGGCTTTGTCTAACCTTTTTATTTCACAAAGAAAGCCTAGAATCCATGGGTGAAGCTGCAGGCTCACTGTCCCCAGCTGCAAGGCAATTTCTCCTCCCCAGGAAAGTAAACTGTCTTCTAGAACACATGTGTACTACCTTCTTTTCTCAAGTATATATTCTCAAAAGGAAGATATTAGAAGTCTAGACAATTTTCAACATTCTGCTTTGGCTGGGGTCTGAAATCTTGGCATACTGATTACTAAAAATTTCTGAATTTCTAAAAATTTTTAACTTCTTTGAAAGTTTGGTACAACCATGGTAGTAACAAACAGAATCACTCATTAAATAAACATTTACTGAATGTCCATTATGTACTGGAATTTTCCTTGGTCCTTTTTGTATTTTTAATCTCTTTTGATTTACCTAATCGTAAGGTACAGGTATGATCATTCCCATATGTTTTAAAAGGAGAAATAATGCTCAGAGAAGCTAAGAGACTTTTTCTACTTCACAGATTCCAGAAGAGTTTGGGTTTGACCCTCTGTTGGGTTCCATTATGCTGTGTGCCTCTGATGCTCCCACAATCTGGATTTCTCTGGACCCATCTGCTCCTGGGCTGGCAAGTAGGGCTGTGAGCTCAGGCTACTTCTGAAGTGTATGAGCCCCTCCAGGAGCTCAGGCTCAGGGTGGGTGACTCGTGGAAGCTAAACTGGAGTATAAACAGGCCCAGAACAGAGCTAACATTATTCCCATGAGAGGTCTGATTTGAGGCATTTATCAGACACGTTTGCCCACAGATGGAAAGGCATATGTTAAGGGTCTACATACAGAATGGACTTAGGTTTCAGAAAAGATGTAGAATACGGCATAGTCTCAAAGAAAGTTTACTGGCAAAGGTCCCTCCACGTTTTATGCGAACGTGCTTTTTCAGTCAACCTGCAGAACTTCCTACACAGAGCAAGCATTTCCTCCAGTGTCCCTGACGGCATTCTGTTTCTGTTTTAATATCTCTAGGAACTGGGAGTTCATTACCTTCCAGTCTATTCTAATTGTTAGAGAGATATAGACTTCATGTTGAGCCAAAAATTGCCTTCCAGATGTGTCTATGCCTTGGGTGCTGGTCTGCCCTTTGGTTTACAAAGACTGAGTCCACTTCCTCCCTACCCAGCAGCCCACTGTGTATTTGAAGAGAACTTTCATTTTTTTTTTTTTCTACCAGTGTTCCCTAAAGCACACTGGTTAGAGTAG